TGCCGCCAAGCACACCATAAATCCCAAAGCCGGTCCGAGGATGGATAGTTGGTGCCAGCTTTAGAAAGCCTAAGCTCTAAACTCAAACACTATGCTATGTGGGAGGGGAATAACTCAACACTATGACGAATACACTGAAACCTACGCGACCCTACGCCAGTTCTAAACCAAATGCCGTCAACCCCCAACCCCCGAAATCAACCCTGCAGTCTAAGACCCACATGACAGGTCCGCGCCCTTCGCCGCGATATCAAGCCAGGAGGTCTCCATGCCGTTGTCTCTCATTTTCATGATGCAGCGTAGACCTCTGATTAACAAAGCCCCTGCTGTTTACACGGATCGGTTGCTGATCACGGGTCTACTGTTGTACCCAAGCACGTAGGTCGACCCCTTCGTCCCGGCAGGCTTCGTCCCAGGGACGTCTTGAAGCTCCCGAGTGCGAGATGCACCTAAACCCCCCAGTGCCTGCTGCGTTTTCCGCTCCACATTGGAGTTCGCTTGACGTGATTGTTTGCGCCATTGATGGCATCCTGGACGGCCACAGGTCTATCCTCATCTAGCCGACAGAGTTGAAATTACACCCTGCGCCCCAAGCCTCAAAACTGTGAATAGTCAACCCAGGCCCTGTACCGACAACCCTACAATCCTGAACGCTGAATGCGACTGCAAGCCGTCAGAAAAAGCCTAGACTCTCGAGAACCCTTCAACAACACCTAAACCTTCAAGCACACCCTCAGCCCTCAAGAAGCCATCAAAGCCTTCAACACGGACCAAAACCCTCAAAAATACCCGGAGCCCGAAGCCGCAACCTCGGCCCCTTCTCCCGTGAGGCCACCACATGACCTTGCCATGGCCCAAGCACTGCGGGCTTGCTCTGAGGGGATGTTTTGCTACAGGGTTTTTGGGGGTTGTTTAGAGTTTACGGTTGGAAAGCATATTACTAGGGCGCTTAAGGCCTATAAGGCTTTTGTGAGGGCGTCAGCGGGTCTCTGACAGGGTTCTGTAAGGGGCCTTCGACAGGGCTGAATTCTAGGCGGGCCGTATTAAAATTAAGGTGTTTATCTCTTGTAGGGTTTCCTCCTTCGGTGCAGTTGGTTCTAAAATAATCGGGGTTGTATTGCATGCACAAGCCTGTAGGCAAAGATCGAGAGCTTTCTTCATCAGGCTGCTGCAGTGATTCAAGCTTATCGTATCTAACAACGAATCATCGTACAGACAGCAGTCGTCGTCTCCACACGTCGCATAATCTGATGGTCGCCACAGGCCGGTGTATCAAGTACAAGGGGCACGCCCCAAGAGGTGCAGGATCCAGGCTTTACGTGAATGAAGGATCCTGGATTCTTGGTCCAAGCTGGTGGGCTTAGCCCCGAACCGCGCCTAAACCCGATCTGCCCCTTCCGATGTTTGGAAGGCTTGGGCTGCTTCAAAATTCTCGAGTTTGAAGATCAGGTTCAGGGAAGACCCTTTCGATGAGCCTCCTCGGGGACAGGCAGCTAGTTCCCGATATAGATGTTCCTTACCCCTGTCTCTCAAGGAATCTGCGAAGAGATTTCCGAAGAGAATCCTTAAGGTGGTGCCTCAACCCGGGTTTCAAGCTTTGTTTCTGAGTAGACGGGGAAGTATCCCCCTATCCGCCCACGATCACCGGCTGTCTTTTAATTTACATAGTCACCGTGATTGTTACGACAGTAGTCCTGGACTTCAGGCTCGGTGCTATTCCTGCAGATGGTCGGGTGGGTGGGCGTGAAGCATGGAATGTCAAAAAGCCAGATTCAGAAAGATGTAAGCCAGAAAGGCTGTACATGAATCCGTTTTCATTAAAGCATATTTCGCGGAGTGTTTGATACCCTAAGCCTCACCGAAAACCTTGTGGCTTCCTAGTCATTAGGGCACTTACTCTTGGGCATTCGCAGGTTGTCGTGAACTCCCTATAAACCCAAACCGTCTTCTTGTGCTTTGCAGTTCCAGGGTCCGTAAGTCTCCCTCGTACTCGATAAAGCTCCCGAAGCATCCCGGATATCCTAATCGACCGAGGACCGACATTCGGAAGTATTGCCGGCAGGCCGTCAGCTAAGCCTGTGCAGCGTGATTTTGGGGGAGCTTCCTCTGTACTGCCTCTACTTCAATCCGAAGTGTGGGCTCGCCCTTGCCATGCGGGGGAGAAATTACCCCCAAGCTTGGGAACCCACGCGCTGAGTCTAAGCATGTGGTGCGGAGCCTCCTTCAAGACGTCTTTTCCGCAATCTTGCATTCACCGTATGAAGGGACACAAGGACCTATACATGAAAAATGCCTGCACACACACACAAACTCACTTGCAGACTAACTAGGTAACTAGGGTTGGGCATCTTTAGCTATCCAAAGGCCATGCCATACACCTCCAACTGACAATTTCTGCCCCAAGAGCATAAAACTCAATAGCTATTGGTAAATCCGCCCTCAGGTTGATCTTCCAGTGGAAATCTCTCACCTGTGGCAGAGCTTAGATACCGACTCGGATGGCAAGGTCCGCATGGAGGACACTGTTCAGCAGCTTCGGAAGGTGTTGCATTTGTTCTTGTGGTTTTAACCGTGTAGATGTTTATAGCTCTTCAGAGTTCAAAGGCATCTTCTCAGCATGTGAGGCAAGTGATCTTTAAGCTTAAACCTGGTGTGGTCGCAGTGGGGCAAGGGGGCACCCTGACTGACTGCGGAAGCTTGAGAGAGAGGCTTTGGGTTGCATTTATAACTAAGGTCTATAATCATTATCAGTGTTTTATATTGCAATTTATAACTAAGGTTTAATCATTATCAGTGCTTGATATTGCGTTTATCGGGTGTATAAGGTTCGAGCAGGGTGTTTACACGGGCTTCTTAGCATCAACGTAGGCGTTTAAGCCCCTTCCCTTGATTTGGCTTGTTCTCATGGGGATCCGAAGAGGCACCGGTTAGCCATCAGGAGTTAACATGCTGCATGTTCAACCTTCTGCCCTCCTAAGCCCGACGAAAAACAAGCCGCCCCCTGCTGTAAGCCTCTACATCCCAAACCCTACACTCCTACTCAGCGTGGACTCGTAGAGCTCTAAATCCTAAATCTCTGATCTAACCCTGACCCTCGTAAACCCTACCCTCTCCCACGCATCTGCACCCTAAATGTGCGTCGTCGTCGTACCAGCAACCTCGCCCAGGCATGTCCGAGTGCGAGTGCTGAAACCCTCACCTCCTCCAGTCAAGGAGCTGTGCTCCCCACGTGCTGAAGTCCTCGCCAAGTTCAAGGAGCCTTGTTCTTTGAGGTAGGGCGGGCGAGGAGCCTTTTGCGATTTTGGAAGGGTTTTATACATTTTGCGTTTTTAAGAGGAGCCTGAATGTTTAGAACAGGATTTCGGGATATATTGTAGTAAAACATTTAGAGACTCTGACGGGAAGCTATCTGTAATTATTCTTCTTAAGGCTTTTTAAGGCTTTTTTAAGGCTTTTGAAGGCTGTTTTAAGGCTTTGAGGCTGAAGGAGCTCAAGCTCTAAGACCCAGGTTTGGCGGAAGCTGCAGCATCCGACTCCGCTGCTCGCCATGTTTTTTTGAGCCCTAAACACGCGTGACGTCAATGCCAACTGCCAAACTCAAGGCCTGGAATCCCGAAACCTAGTCACCTCAATTGCCCGAAATTCCGACACTCTTAGACTCTTGCGGAACCCTTGAGTCCTAAACCCTAGATCCCCAAAGCCCTAAGCAAAACCGTCTATCTCTGTCCAACTCGATGACAGACTGCGACGCCGGCTTCGCCCTTGCTGAGTCGGAGGGAAAAAGCCCTTCCAGCCCTAAACCTTAAACCCTATAAAGCC